TTTCACTCTAGTTAGCCTTGAAGGTGTCTTAAAAATTGTGAATATCCTCTCAAAACAACTTCAGTCCTCGACCATAGATGTTGGCAAGTGCCGAAAGCTCGTAAAAGCAACAAGAGATCAGTTAGATGAGTTGAGATCTGACGCAAAATTTGAATCCTTTTTTCAAGAAACTGCACAATTGTGCAATGATTGTGAAATCGATCATGCAAGGGCAAGAGACACTGGCCGCCGTAAACAGAATCCAACAGCAAGCCTGGATGATTATTTCGTCATGGAGACTACTGGGAAGGGACGATACACACAGAAAGAAAATCCTAAGACAACATTGAAAGCAGAGTATTTTCATATTCTTGATAATATGATATGTGAAATGGACAAACGGTTTGCCGAAAATGACATTTCAATTGCTTGTATTTCAGCCTGTAACCCAAAGTCACACGATTTTTTAGACCCAAAAGTGTTGTGTAACTTCTCAGAGCTGCACGGGAAAGACTGTGACTTCACTTCTACCTTGAAAGTACAATGTGATTTAGGTAAAACAATGTTCAAAGACTCTAAAAGTAGCATGGACGTGTTGAATGATTTAGCGAACTTCCCATCTTTCGATGAACTAAAACAAGTAATGACGATCGTGTTGACAATGCCCGTCTCCACAGCTACTGCTGAAAGGTCATTTTCTACTATGAGGAGAATTAAATCAAACTTAAGGGCTACAATGACGGGGAGGAGACTTCACAGTTTGGGAGTGTTATCTATTGAAAAGGAAGCAAGTTTAGAACTTCTGAACAACCCTGATCCTGTAATTGATGAATTTGCTTCTCAGAAAGGCAGAAGATTGCAGTTTGTAATGAAATAAACAGTTTGTTTGAATAATGATCACACAAATTATTTACTAATCAGGCGAGCTGAATTCTGAACTGAGTGTTATTACTATGTTGTATAATTAATTTTGATTAAAATATTATTAATGCTAGTAATAGATATGTGACTGTTATAGGCAATAAATGTTTTCTTTAAAAACCACCGTTTTTCAACTATCATAGTGTATTTCTCTAAATATTTTTTAAACTAACAAAATTGGCATCCATACATAACGATAAACAAAATATTAAATGCAGTTTTCAAACCATTTAAAAAAAACCTAGATACTAATCAAATATATAAAATCCAATGTATGTTTGTATGTTTGTCCTTTATGGACTCCGAAACCGCTCGACAGATTGTAATGAAACTTTCAGGCATTATTAAGCATAATCCATTATGCTTAATTAGGATTATTATTCAAGGGTGGTTTGTGTGAAGTTTGGTGCAGATCCGTCAAAAGGGCTCCGCAATAACTTATTAACAAACATATGTCAATAATTCCCAAAGCAATAATAAAATATACAATTTTACTAATTTTTTCTAAGTACCTTTTGATAGCGGACCTTAAAATGTGATTTTTTTTTACAATTAACATTTTTTATACAACTAAAAAATCTCTTAATTATGTCTCTAAATGGCCTAAAAACTCGATTTTACAGGTCTAATTTTCAAAAATTCCCCGGACCCCCCTTTTCCTGGGGGGTTTTCCATACCCCCCAGACCCCCCGGTCTTGTCCCTGTGTTTGGCCTACCCAAAAAAATATTCCTGGAGCCGCCCCTGATTAAAACCCAAGTTGAAACTATCGATATAATAAAGAAACTAAATTGATTACTAATTTCCTTGTCAATCACTTGCAAGCATTCAATAGCTTGCCTTGTCACCGTCACCGGTAACGTTTAAACGTCGTATGCATAATATAGTGATTTTATTTTATCTGACAGAAATCATAGAGTAGCAAATGAAGGAAATGAACACTCAGATAATGGCCTATATGTCCACGCAACGTTGTAATAGGTAATGAACCGGCTGCAAACAGCTGTATGAAGCCAAGAAAGTAGGCCTATATTTTTTGGAAAATCTCAGTTTGAAAGAGGTTGTTTCACGTAAGGTTATGATAAAAATCACTATCTCAATCAATGTTAATGTAGCAAAAAAAGTAGCTAAAATTCCGCTACAAATACTTTAAAAATGTAGCTACAGCTAATGCTACAAAATCTTAAAAGTAGCGCAGCTACAGCTAACGCTACAAAAAAAGTAGTGCGCTACTGTAGCGTCGCTACTTGTAGCGCGCTACTTACCAAGGGTCCGCGGAATTGGCTAACTCTGGAACTCGCTAACCCCATGTTAAACGCCCTATCTTCAAATTTGGTCGATGAGAGGAACTCGCTAACTTGTTCGGTTTCAGAATTGGCTAACTCCGGAACCCGCTAACCCGCTCTAGAGCCGGGTTAACGAATTCCGTCCTCGTACGGAAGTCGCTAACTCGGTCCCTCGGCGGAACTCGCTAACTCCCAATCAGAAGCCTCGCGGGCCGTCCAATGGGAGCCAAGCACGAATATTTTTGGCCAGTGAGTGTTGCCGAAAGTGTAGTACCTATATCGTATCGGTACCATAATGTCGTATCCTACGATTAATTAGGAGTAAGAGCAACGTAGTCGATAAAATAAATATATTTAGAAGTATGTTTAGCATTATTCTTATGGTTATTATGGTGGAAAATGCATTATAGTCTTACCATAGACTAACCAACACAAGTAAACTTTACATCCCATTGTAAACTTGGAAGCTCGTTTTTCGTGTCTAGTTCATGTCCGGTGACACTGATCGCTAGTGTCGACAAAATTGTGTTTCTATTATTTTATAGTTAACTTCATGATTTGTTCTTTACTGTTTGGTTAACTAGGGGACGTGTTATTAGTTGTGATTAGAACGTTTTATTTGGTTGAACGAGGTTTTAAATTACTGAAAACAAGAAACAATTGTAAACAAAATACGACCTCTAAAGACAGTGCACCGGACAGAACTAACAATACAACTGTCTTCAGATGATCCATAAGGATGAGAAATGTACTAATATAAGGGAGTATGTTTTATATGTAGGTTTCTTACTTAAATAGTAGCTTATTGGTATGCAAAAAGATAAAAATGCACATTTAATTTGGATCTATTACATGTTATGAAATATCTATTTTCGTAGTCCGCCATTTGTTTCTTTTATTCGAATAAATACCATTTTGTGAACTTCTGCAAATAAACTTATTGAGTTCGTATTTTATATACTGGGCTTGTAACCTTAAATCATAAATCATAATAAAATTTACACGTTAAACGTCATTACAGAATTACATTTAAGTGGTAATGTATTTTTAAATAGAGCTATTGAATTTAAATAAATATTTATCAATACATTATTAAGTGGTAGGCCTAATGTATTCATGGATTGCATTAAAAGTTAGTCTATGCACAAATACAACTTGTAAATTTCTTTTATCGTAGGCTATTAGTGTAGAACCCGGGTCATCCTCTTAATTTTGTTGAATTAATATTAATTTTACGTCTTTCAGTAGGCCTACTTTTTAAAAGTCTGGAGTTTTTCTCCAGGCTGGTTCTAAATGGACCCAGGCGTTCTTTTGTTTGTTACAATTCTTATGGATGGTGGCCATAGCTAAAATTACTTGATCTTATCCAAAAACAAAGCTATTGTTACACAATAGACTGGGGAACGGTGAACCGAGCAATGGCTTGGTATAGTTTATATCGATTGTGTAAGCAATATAAAGGAAATCCAACACTCAAATCAGGAAAATCCGTCAATTCGTTTATTAAGAATCGTGAATTAAAATAACTCTGTCACGTTTTATTATATGAATATTATATCTTCTCCCATTTTTTACTAGTGGTAACGGTTTTAAAACATGTAATTGCTAAAGAATTCAACATATTTTAGAATTAGGCAACTATTTACTATTAGGCCTACAATGCTTTGGTTCAAACTATTAGGCCTAGATAAAAACTTAGTCTATGTCATCATATTTGTACACGTAAGTTGGACGGTTCAACGACGGACATTTAATTTAAAATCTCTATGAATTAGTTATGAAAGTTACGATGGTTGATGACTGTATTAATTAATGGTTTTGGTTTATTACGACATTACAATTAAACCTGTTTTCCGTGTTTAAGAACTTGCGTGTATTTTAGCTTAATTTCGTAGAGGTTTAATTATTTAGTACCAATTAAACTAAATTTTGAATATTTTTCATATTCTATTATTTTCCTTTATACCGATGGCATTTATATTTAAGATCGAAATCATAAACATTTAACTGGCCATTGTACATTTTAATAAAAAACACTTTTTCGTGATATTTTAATTGTCTTTTAATTACTTTGGGCTAGTTATCTGTTAAAAGTGGAATTGATAACAAAAAACAATAATGTTTACTGTATCTTTATAGACACTGACATTTTGAAATACGGCAGTGTACGATTATTTTGTCGTACAAGGTTGGCAACACTCCGAGCAGTGGGCGCGGCCGGGTTAGCGACTTCCAGAGTTAGCGAATTCCGCCGCGAGACAAAATCGAGTTAGCGGGTTCCGGAGTTAGCCAATTCCTGACTGAGACGGTTAGCCAGTTCCAGAGTTAGCCAGTTCCGACACACGACCGAGTTAGCGAGTTCCTGAGTTAGCCAATTCCTACGTCTCCTTACCAACACTGACTATAGGAAAAGCCACTGAATGGGAAAGGTCACCTTGGAGTTTACTCTGCCCAGGGAAGAAATGGTGATGTACATCATGACCCTATGTGGGTTATGTAATGTGTTAGGGTTAGGACACAATACACCATCAGGTATAAAAACATCTGATGTGATATGAACTTCGTAGGTTCTGGCCTACTCCCAGCCACCTATGGGGACAGCAACTTACGTTTGATAGGTACTTGAAGCTGAATATGAATGTATGGTGATTGTTAGATGGAGTTGAAAGATCTGTGCAGCTTAGTTACTGAACAAGATCGGCTACTGTATTTTATTTCAGGATCTGTAAAAAGCCCAAAACCTTTGTTTTTTATGGGTTTTGCCCTCATAAAAAAATAAATAGAAGGAAGAGAACTTAGTGTACACAATTACAAACCTTATTAACAGCACTGAGCACAATTCCCAGCTTCTGCTTCTGACCTTCCTCAGATTGTGTGACTTCTGGGACATCCAGCTTCTCTCCGGACAGCTTCTCTGTTGGTGGAATTATAATGTTACAAACACTTGAGTAAACCTCAGACGGTTAACTGTAGTATAGATAAAACATACTTCCTTGAATCCCTTGTGTTGCTTTGTCTATGACTGTAGTCTCAGTTATCTGACCCAAACTGGTCACAGCTTGGTTAGATATTGTATGCAAAAGGGTCAGATTACACAGCAAGTAGCAAATAGCAATAATCATTGAACTACTTAATAAGTACTATACAGTGTGTAAATTAAGTCTGGCACACATTTTTTTTCTTTTTTTCTATAGTAGATAGAAGAAATCAATTTGCGGGACTGATTAATAACAAATGTTAGGCACTTTTTACAAATTTTGAAAATAAAAATTCCCTTAACCCTAGCAGTGGCCAATGTTAGAAGTGGGGAATGGCCAACCCATTTTGGCGATTTTGCAGACCATTTTTTGAAAATTCGTAAAAATTCAACCGTACAAGTAAACCTAGCCAACCTCATATTCATTTTGTTCGGAAAGAACAGGAGAATCTAGAAATAGTAATATCATAATGATTTAGACAGTGTATTTTATCGGTAAAGTGAAAAAAATAAAAAAAATTGAATTTTTTTTTGAAATTTCAAAAGCGGCCTCTGCATTTTTTTTCTAAGGATTTTTTTATGGGAAATTCATTATATACATTTTGTAGACAATCTAATTCCCTACATAGAAATATATAACATCTTAGGAAAATATTTTTTTTTATAAGTTTTTGGGGCGAAATATAATGACAAACGGAGAATCGAAAAAATTGAAAGCCGTGCAGTGTTCGTTTTTGTTGTAAAAAGTTCTATAATATATGTGTATACTAATAATGATATATACATGTTTGTAAAGCTAATGAAGTAAGGAATCAAAAAAAGTCATAAAGTTTATGGTAAAAATAATTTTTTACCTATAAACATACGTATATAAAATAATGTTTTTTATATTTTAGAGATTTCTCGAGAAAAAAATTCACAGTACTTAGTATACAACTTTTGTACCAAATTTGTTTACTTCAAACCAACATAATAATCTTGTAGTGTATTCAATTACCTACATAAAAATGTATAACATGTTAGAAATATTTTTTTTTTGTAGGTACGTAATAGGGACATAATAAGTTTAATACAATAACCGCAAAACCGCAAATAAGTGTAAACTATAGCCTACAGTGTTTGCTTGTGTTGTGAAACATTATGTAGGCTGATGATATGTAGCCTACATATTTGTAAAGCTAATGAAGTAAGGAATCCAAAAAAAGTCATAAAGTTTATGGTAAAAATAATTTTTTACCTATAAACATACGTATATAAAATAATTTTTATATTTTAGCGATTTCTCGAGAAAATAATTCACAGTACTTAGTATACAACTTTTGTACCAAATTTGTTTACTTCAAACCAACATAATAATCTTGTAGTGTATTCAATTACCTACATAAAAATGTATAACATGTTAGAAATATTTTTTTGTAGGTACGTAATAGGGACATAATAATACAATAACCGCAAAACAGCAAATAAGTGTAAACTATAGCCTACAGTGTTTGCTTGTGTTGTGAAACATTATGTAGGCTGATGATATGTAGCCTACATATTTGTAAAGCTAATGAAGTAAGGAATCCAAAAAAGTCATAAGTATGATGGTAAAAAGTTATTTTCACCTATGATTATGTATCAATTTGAGAACGTTTTGAATTTTTTGCGCATTTCGAGAAAATGGAGTGTACAGTATTTAGTAGCCTATATAATTTTTTTACCAAATTTTTTACACCCAAACCAATATAAACATGTTGTAGTGTATTCATTTACCTTTATAAAAATGTATAACACCTTGGGTAAATCATTATATAGCATATATAGCACCTCTGAATGTCAGAATCGTCATTTTTGAACATGATGCTAACAAAATACAGTAGTAGGCCTATTTAGTATAGGCTATAACTTTTTTACAAAATTTTTTACCCCCAAACCATTATAAACATGTTGTAGTGTATTCATTTACCTTTATAAAAATGTATAACACCTTGGGTATATCATTATGGTGTAAATTAAGTCTGGCACACATTTTTTATCTTTTTTTCTATAGTAGATAGAAGAAATCAATTTGCGGGAATGATTAATAACAAATGTAAGGCACTTTTTACAAATTTTGAAAATAAAAATTCCCTTAAGGGCAAGGGGGGGTGGGGGGTAACTAAAAATTTTCAAATGACAACCCCCATCTTGTGACCCCTCATTTTAAAGGTCATTGGAAGACAAATCCAAAGATGTGTCTAAAAAAATTTTTTTTGCACCCTATCCAAGATGGCGGTTTAAAATGTACTTAGGGTTGAATGGGTAAATTAGGTATGGCACACATTTCTTATCTTTTTTACTCTTTGTAGATAGAAGGAATTAATTTGCGGGACTGAGTAAGAACAAATGTTTGGCACTTTTTCATAATTTTGAAAAAAAATCCCCTTAAGGGTAAGGTGGTGGTGGGGGGTAACTAAAAATTTTCAAATGACAACCCCCATCTTGTGACCACTCATTTTCAAGGTATTTGGAAGACAAATTTAACGATGTGTCTGAAAAAATTGTTTTTGTATCCTGTCCAAGATGGCGGCTTTAAATGTGCTTGGGGTTAAACGGGTGGGGTCTGGAACACAATTTTATCTTTTTTGCCATTAATAGATAGAACTTATCCACTCGTGGGACTGAGCCAAAATTAGGCACCTTTTTATTTATTTGAAAAAATCCCCTAAGGGTAAGGGGGGGGGGGGTCAACTAAAAATTTTCAAATGACAACCCCCATCTTGTGACCTCTCATTTTAAAGGTATTTGAGAGACCAATTTAACAATGTGTCTAAAAATGTTTTTAAGCACTTTTTCCAATATGGCGGCTTAAAATGTGCTTAGGGTTGAACAAGTAAATTAAGTCTGAAACACATTTTTATTTTTTTTACCAAAAATAAAGTTATAATAGATTTGATAGTTTATATCAGAAAAACTTGGACAATAGGACGAACTGCAATAAACAAACTTATGTAGCTCTTATCACTTAGTAAATAAATCTGATAATTGAGATTCCAGGTTTGGACGTTGCACTCACTTGGAATTCCTATCCTCTTTCTTAAGACTGCAGGCTAATCAGGTAACAATCTTATCAGTTTTTCCTTATTCCCCTTCAGTCTGTGTAGGTAGTTTCTTTGGAGTAGTCGTAAGTACATCTTTTATTATTTTTATTTTAACATGGCGTTGTTAACAACAAAACAGAAGATAGAAATACTTGTCATTGTTGGCTATGGAGATAAAAAACGGACTCAACTTGAAGCGTGTGATATTTTTAACAACTTGTACCCTGATCGCCAAATTAATCGAGCTACAGTATCTAAGATATGTAATAAGTTTGCTGAAACGGGGGATGTTGCAAGTAAACCAAGAAGTGGTAGGCCAAAATCTGTACTCACTGAAGAAACTAGACTGAATATACTTCTTAGCGTTGAAGAAAATCATCACACATCGACACGTAGGATTGGAAATGACTTTGGGATAAGTCACATGTCGGTCCACAAAGCCCTTAAAGCCGAGAAGTTTCATCCTTTTAAGGTTCAGTTAATTCATGAATTGAACGAGGACGATTTTGACCGCAGGATTGAATTCTGTGAACTCATGATGCAACGGTGTACTTTGGATCCAATGTTCAAAAATAGAATTGTATTTTCAGATGAGGCTTCATTTAGTCTTCATGGCCACGTGAACAGACAAAACTATAGGTATTGGTCTCCTGAAAATCCGCATTGGGCTCAAGAATGCCATACTCAAAATCCCCAAAAAGTCAATGTTTGGGCAGGCATTGTCGGGACCAAATTAATAGGGCCATTCGTGATCGAAGGAAATCTAAACGGAAACCGTTATCTGGAGTTACTGCGAGAGTCGATAGTACCTGCCATTGCCCATGAGTTTCCTCCGGAAGACGAAGAAAATGTTGTCAACGAGAACATTTGGTTTCAGCAAGATGGCGCACCACCTCACTATAATGCTGAAGTCCGAAATTACTTGGACGAAGTTTTTCCAGATCGTTGGATAGGGAGGCGGGGAGCTATTGAATGGCCTGCCAGATCACCCGACTTGACGCCGTTAGACTACTTTTTGTGGGGCCACCTAAAAAGTAGAGTATTTGTTAACCACCCAGAAAACATCCAGGATCTCACAGCAAGAATAATAATGGAAGCACGATCTATTAATGAAGAAACGCTGTCCAGGGTGGTAAACAAATTTTACAATCGGTTGGGGCTCTGTCAAGTTTCTCTTGGGCATCAGTTTGAGCATTTGTGAATATTAACAAGTACGTAAAGTTGATTATTGCAATTACATTTATTATTTAGTTTAGGAATTCTATTAATTTTGATTGCTATTGTGTTTTTGTTGTTGTAGGGTTGTAGTATTATTGTAATTATTTGGTATTCTATTTTATTGTAATTATTTGGTATTCTATTTTATTGTATTGGTAATCAATTTTTACACTATCAAACATTAGAGTATAAAGGAAAAAAGGTGTTCCAGACTTAATTCACCCGTTCAACGCTAAGTACATTTTAAGCCACCATATTAGACAGGATGCAAAAAAAACATTTTCAGACACATCGTTGTTAAATTGGTCTCTCAAATACCTTTAAAATGAGAGGTCACAAGATGGGGGTTGTCATTTGAAAATTTTTAGTTGCCCCCCCCCCCCTTACCCTTAGGGGATTTTTTAAAATAAATAAAAAGGTGCCTAATTTTGGCTCAGTCCCACGAGTGGATAAGTTCTATCTATTAATGGCAAAAAAGATAAAATTGTGTTCCAGACCCCACCCGTTTAACCCCAAGCACATTTAAAGCCGCCATCTTGGACAGGATACAAAAACAATTTTTTCAGACACATCGTTAAATTTGTCTTCCAAATACCTTGAAAATGAGTGGTCACAAGATGGGGGTTGTCATTTGAAAATTTTTAGTTACCCCCCACCCCCAACTTACCCTTAAGGGGATTTTTTTTCAAAATTATGAAAAAGTGCCAAACATTTGTTCTTACTCAGTCCCGCAAATTAATTCCTTCTATCTACAAAGAGTAAAAAAGATAAGAAATGTGTGCCATACCTAATTTACCCATTCAACCCTAAGTACATTTTAAACCGCCATCTTGGATAGGGTGCAAAAAAAAAATTTTTAGACACATCTTTGGATTTGTCTTCCAATGACCTTTAAAATGAGGGGTCACAAGATGGGTGTTGTCATTTGAAAATTTTTAGTTACCCCCCACCCCCCCTTGCCCTTAAGGGAATTTTTATTTTCAAAATTTGTAAAAAGTGCCTAACATTTGTTATTAATCATTCCCGCAAATTGATTTCTTCTATCTACTATAGAAAAAAAGATAAAAAATGTGTGCCAGACTTAATTTACACCCTGTATAGGTACAACAATCTCTGAATGTCAGAATCGTCATTTTAGGACATGATGCTACAAAATACAACCTTTTATGAACACTATTTCACACAATTCAGTAATATTTATGCATGAAGATTACTGTTATACACACACACAACACTTCACTAACACTAACACTACGAACTAATAACATATTTAGTAATAAATCGCGGATAAAACTATTACCGGCAACAACACAAACAATGGCAATACAAGACAGCTGACAGACTGTAGCAGTAATGACTCACTTGTCGTCTACATGCGAGCATACAGAAATAACCCTCAGTGCAGGGCTGCCACTCTCTGAATCTAAATTTCTTCCTCTTCAAAATGATATACTATATGACTAGTAATAATAACTTTCACTGTATATAATTCGTATTTTCCATACTGTCACCAGACGACTGTTGGCCATTTGTTAGAAATTTCAAAAACAGCTGTTTTCATAAAATCGTACCGATTGTGCAATCAATATTTAGTTATAAATATCACTACCACAATGAAGTTAAAATCAATGGCTATCCAGTGGTACCACCCGCAACATCCCAAGACGAAAATTACCCGAGCAGGGTAATGCCAAACAAGACGTGTTTTGCCAGTTCCCAAGTGTCGGCTGCAAAAGTCGTACCGCGCCAAAATTTCATTTGATTTCTAATCGTCGTGACATTGTTATATACCTGCTACAGGGTTTGTTTATGTAATCAAATGAAAGTTCAGAATGTGATCTTTCGAATGGTATATATATTATTCTCATCTGAGTTGATTGTAAGTGTTTTTTTACCGTTAAAAAAATTTTGGCCCATACCGTCACCAGACGACATTGGCCATTCTAAGCATCAACGTCATACCGTCACCAGGCGACGGTTGGCCACTGCTAGGGTTAAGGGCAAGGGGAGGTGGGGGGTAACTAAAAATTTTCAAATGACAACCCCCATCTTGTGACCCCTCATTTTAAAGGTCATTGGAAGACAAATCCAAAGATGTGTCTGAAAAAATTTTGTTTGCACCCTATCCAAGATGGCGGTTTAAAATGTACTTCGGGTTGAACGGGTAAATTAGGTATGGCACACATTTCTTATCTTTTTTACTCTTTGTAGATTAGAAGGAATTAATTTGCGGGACTGAGTAAGAACAAATGTTTCGCACTTTTTGGCATCATTTTGAAAAAATTCCCCCATAGGGTAAGGTGGGGGTGGGGGATAACTAAAAATTTTCAAATGACAACCCCCATCTTGTGACCCCTCATTTTAAAGGTATTTGGAAGACAAATTTAACGATGTGTCTGAAAAAATTTTAATGTGTTTCAGACTTAATTCACCCGTTCAACCCTAAGTACATTTTAAGCCGCCATATTAGACAGGATGCAAAAAAACTTTTTCAGACACATAGCTTCCAAATACTTTTAAAATGAGGGGTCACAAGATGGGGGTTGTCATTTGAAAATGTTTAGTTACCCCCCACCCCCACCTTACCCTTAAGGGGAATTTTTTTTTTCAAAATTATGAAAAAGTGCCAAGCATCTGTACTTACTCAGTCCCGCAAATTAATTCCTTCTATCTACAAAAAGTAAAAAAGATAAGAAATGTGTGCCATACCTAATTTACCCGTTCAACCCTATAAGTACATTTTAAACCGCCATCTTGGATAGGGTGCAAAAAAATTTTTTTCAGACCCATCTTTGGATTTGTCTTCCAATGGCCTTTAAAATGAGGGGTCACAAGATGGGGGTTGTCATTTGAAAATTTTTAGTTATCCCCCACCCCCCCTTGCCCTTAAGGGAATTTTTATTTTCAAAATTTGTAAAAAGTGCCTAACATTTGTTATTAATCAGTCCCGCAAATTGATTTCTTCTATCTACTATAGAAAAAAAGATAAAGAATGTGTGCCAGACTTAATTTACACACTGTATACTATCTGATTATTTAAGTGATAAGTAAATGTGCTTTAGTTATACTTTTATTAAAGTAAAAGTAGATTTTGTTTTATATTTTAGCTAGTGTTTATAGTATGACTGTGTCACCTGTTTCACCAGCTTTGCTGGAATTGTGAGACGTTTTGTGGCAATGAAGTAGTACAGTTGAACCTCACTATAGCGGTTATAGCATTATAACGAGCCTCAATGTGACAAATTACTCTATATAACATAGCATTTTGCAGGCCTATTGCAAGCGCAATATCACTCAATAGAAAGTGTGCCCTATACAGTGAATAAAATATAAAATGGGCTCTATATAACAAATTATTTAGTAATTTTGTTGGTATTTATTTACCCCTGTATACAGAATATCCAAAGTATGAAACCCATACATAATGAACATACCTACTCTATAACGGATTCAAATGTTATGGCCATACTCTACTAGATCTTCTTCCAATCCAAGAACTGCATTTTTGTGATAATATAATTAACTCAATCAGTGTAAACAAATAAAAGTTCATTATTTTTTTTACCAAAATTAAATACAATATCCCACTCATACAGTCCACTTTATTTTAAAAAAGCCTTCTTAGGCATACACAATACTTTCTTTAACAGCTTATAAGTTAAAAAGAAAGTCGTTTTAAGTATATAGGGCCAAGTACAGTTTTGAGCTGGTTTCTCATGTAAAATCTTACAAGGCCAACCTACCTAAGAGTTTTTGCAAGACTTGTCCATCGTAGAGGTCTTCTTCCAGATCCTTGACGATGATTCTTTGATCAGCCAAGACATCGTTGATCCAATCAACCAAAACACCGGTCAGCTCCTGCAGTTTGGGGTTCTCGTAAGAGCGAGGTTCTATCATAGACCGCTCCTCATTCTCCTCTGCAAAGTTTGTTTGTATGAGACAATTTAACTAGGTCAGTTGTTGATTAAAATCAAGATAATGGCAAAATTATAACAGATGTCTGAAGTAGTAATGATAAAATACAGGGGAAGTTTTAATTGTTAACCCCCCCCCCCCACAACTTTTTTCTAGAATTTTTCAAATGTCAATCCCAGACCACTTCCCAACATTGTTGGGTAGTAAGTACTTCAATTTGACAAGGTGGTTATTTCCGGCCGCCATCTTGGATTTGCCATATTGGATGGAAAATTTTTTTTTTCAAATGTAAAGTTGGGGTTGTGACTCATTATTTCAAATTAGATTTTTACCCTGATTACAATGCCACAAATTGTTTTTAAAAATCTTGATCCGGATTCCAAGGTTATGAGGGCTTTTTAAAACTTTATTTTTAGCCCATTTTAACAATGTGCTTTTAAAAACAAGACTCAAAATAGCACTATCTCAAAATAGTGCAAGATAAAAATAAGTATACACCACCTGTTTCATTTGTAAACAGAATGACATCATTTTCAGCTCTGTAGCTTATACGAGAGGTGTGTTTTTAACATTGTTTAGACTATCGAATCTCCCGTCGTGTATGAGATAATATCAATGATTCGTTTTTGATGAGAAGAAACATATCCGATCCTGAAATTCATCGCCAGATGACGTAAAGCTATGACCCTAATGCAATCAGAGTGCAAGTGGGTTACGGATTGTAAAAATAGCTGTGAAATCTTTTTTTCTTTGAGGTCTTCTGTGAGAAGTCTTGGTACCCACCAAAAACACACATCTTCCAAAATGAACATTTTCACAGCCATTTTTAAAATCCCTAGCCTATTTCTGCACTTTCCCCGCATGAGGGTCATAAACTTCAGTCATCTGACGATGAATGTCAGCATCGGCTCGAATACATTTCTTGTAATGAAAAACTTAGGTATCACTGACCTTATCTCGCTTTTGGCGGAAGATTCAATAATTGAAAGATTTTTTTTTATATACAGCGGAGCAAACACAGCAGGTACAGAGCTGCAAACTGTGTAATTTTGTTTACAAACGATGCCAGTAGGTGGCGAGGAGCCTCTCCGTACATTTGAACTACGGATGTGTACAAAAAATGGCCATTATAACCTAAAAAACCACCCTCGTAGTTAGGGTCTAACTTGTTTTAGACTAAGAACTGAACAAACACATTCTGAAAATGTTATCTGTGAAAATCTTTAAATTAGGGCTTTATTTTTTATATCTAAACTTATGAAAACTAGGCTACGAATTTTACTTTTACACTTTCAAAAATATAATTTTTATTCTCCCTGTTATTGTTTTCAGTCCGTTATTAAGTTCCATTTTAAGTTGCTCAGACACAGTGGATTGTACCAGTACTGTAAACCACTCATAGTCAACATATTGAGCACGATAACTATACTATGGGCCACAAGAGTCTGCAGTTAGCAGCAGCCAATACCAAGACTGGACTAGCGCGACGTTGCAGCATTGGGCACAAGTCATGCTATTCAAAGTCATGTGGTAAATAGCTCCTCCCTCAACTGCAGACGATCGTGGACCGCACTGTAGGCCTATCACTAGCCAAAGGCTAACCTACTATGTGTCATATCATCTGACCCTAACCTACCAAGGTCATATTCTTCAGGAGGAATATCTTGAGCAGTTGGACTTCCTGGGGAATCTATAGCATACTTTCCTTCTTCTTGGACTTCTTGCACTGAAAGCATTAAACTATGTTATATAATTGTCAACATCCAAGTTAAGATAACTATGTTAGGCTAACGTAATAATGTGTATCACCAAGTAAAAATTGAAACAGCGCACTTAGTGGATAAAGGAACCATGAACATACCCTACATTATTGTTTTGGATTGTGTGTAGTTTTGTGGTGGGGGGGGGGGGCAGATAAAGGCCTGAGGATAAGAATTCTTCACTCCAAAGACGAGTGTAGTGAGCTGACAGATTTATCAGCTGACAGATGTTTTAAAGAGTTTTATTGAATTTTGGTTGCTATGAAGGGAAAAATAAACACATAGAAAGAGACATTCTTTTAGGCTTTTCAACCAAAGTGGTTCATTTTATTTTCTCTAAACAATTAATTATTAATTAATTTCAAAGTTTGATAAATTAAACAATAATATTTAGTAGAAACCTCAAGGCTTTTATTTAAGGTATTTTTCCTATTTAAATGAGGTTCTTTTCACTAAAACGAGCATTAAGGCAATGCTATAACTAGCTAAACAAACTACACACCAGTCAGTCTGAGGTACCTACTTGTTTTTTCCTCTGACTAGCTGGGGATAGGGGATATAAAAATTTAACGTTTGGATTGTTCTTTCTTTTACATTAAAAAATTCAAAAGTTGTCTACAACAAGTAATTTATTATGGCCTTCTGGTTAAAATTTTGTCATCTGTGTGGTGATTGCAGCATGCAAAACCGGTCACAGATTCGTTTCCACTTTGTTTCACCGTTTTTTTTATTTACTGCCACCATGGATTTTCCTTCAGGGAAGATGATGTAGGGTACTATATTTGAATGTAAAATTAGTTTGCAGCATTGGCAGTTTTGAATATTTATAGGACTAGATAAAATGTGACAGTATATTTGTTTATGTTTTTATGACAATAACTTATGTTTGAACAAAAATATCCAAGAATGTTTGGTTACGCTATTAGGGAAATTACCAAAATATTATTCTTCAAGGCCGAGAATACCGTTAATACCGTTCAATGAAATCGTGACCGTAAATAGTACCGTATTTTAAGCCAAGTATGAATGGAGATGAGTGTAGGATGAGTGGGAAGTAGCTGTTTTACGGTGCAAGTATGATAGTATGATACCAGGCATGGAATTTTATACAAAAACCTTCAAAACAGTACCGGTTGAGTTGTGTGAGATGCATTTTACCATAACACCAGCAACAAAATTATTGGGTACCTACGTAAAATAACCCATACAACAAAGTATGGTATAATATAGACTACAGTATTTCAGTATTTTTACAGAACATTCAACATAAATAAAAATTGCTTTGGACATTTCCAATATTTGTTGTGTAAGTGCAACATGAATTGTTAATGTTTGGATTGAACCTATGCCTTTATGGTAGTAGCTGCTATGTTGAGAGCCTAAAGAAGAGGCACCAGCTGACCACTTCAGCTGGTCCCGCGCTGAGTTTGGAGGTTAGGTCCCACGCTCTAACCACTAGACCAGCTCGCTCCCCAGCTGATATAACATAGACCTTTTATAAATAACAGTAGGTAAGCCTACTGATGGACCAAGCCGTGACTCGGAATAGTGTATTTCAAATTTGTAAATGAAGCATAAAGTAAACACACATTTTATTTAAGCTACAACTAATTTTGACTTTTAACATTTAAGTTTCAGCTCAGCGGAATTTCAATTTGCTATGATAGAAAAATGTTAACTTAATTTATTTTACAATCCATGGTACAAATCACTCGTTTATAATAGCCTACATATGCATAAACATTGTTTTAACAGTTTCTTTAAAATAAAACAGCTAATTGAAAATTTGTGTTTGAATTATATGTTACATAGGTAAAATAAATCTATGAATTATAATTTCTAAAGTAGGTTTTGTCGGTAGAACATAACTTCCTCAGGCCTATTTCTTCACCAATTTTCATAAATGAGGTGTCATTTTAAAGCTTTTTTACCCTCTACCCGGGGGAAATAAACAAATAGGCCTAACCATAGACTAAGCAACACAAGGGAGTATGATTTATCTATGGCCTAACTCATTTTTCAGTAGTTCTTGAAAAAAACTATATATTTTATAATTCCGCAAGTAATTTAGGCTTGAAACGTTTATTCACGTTATTTCATCAGCTGAAACATTTGAATTAAATTTATCAAACAAACAAATATTTACTTCTCAAAACCGAGTGATTTGTTTTAATAGGTACCTACTTAGTTTGTGTTTTCTACGATAGATAACCCCGGAGATGATATAAGATTAGGGCCTATATTCATTATTGGGACGTAGAACCCTATGTTGTAGGCCTATCCATTAAAGTTTTTGAACGTAAGCCCTTTAGTTTCGTCACCTCATAAACCCATGCTAAAAAGAACTATTATCATGTTGATGAGAAACCTAAGCAGGGACCAGGATTGGTTTTAGCCTGTGGGCACCTACCAAACAAAGTTGGCTTACTCTGGTCAAACTGTCATACTACCCAATAGTCCGTAGCTTAATCCTTTCAAACTGACTATGAAAGAGTATCCTGGAAAAGCTACCTTTGCCATGACTTTAAATAAGGCACATGGACAGACACTAACGAAGAAAGGATTGTACATGCCAGACCCCGGTTTCCCAATTGATTGTGGCTTTGTCAGTGAAAACTATGTCTGTGTAAAAGTAAAAACAAAGCCATCAACACAAATATTGTACCTAGGATGGCCATATTATTTCTTCAAATACAGTGTTCATAGAGGTACTGTAAACATGTAAAAACGTAACTTAAGTAATCCTATTATATATTGAAATAAGTTAATTATAAATCTAAAATGTAAACCCACGTCTATTCCTGAAGTAAGGACCAATACTTCGGCTAAATCAACAATGCACTTACGCAGTATTTACTGTGTGTTGTGTACTTCAGTAAAAATAGTTATTAGAGTCACTATTACAAGAGTTAAAGAGCACTGAATGGCATTGAACTAAAGAATAGAGAAGAAAATTACTCTAGTGTCACTTTAGGCAAGAGCGCTAAATGCCAAGAAGGCTAGTAGAGAACTCGGATAAGTTACTAACTTAAAACCCTAGTCGAAGAATCAACATTATACTAATCAGCATTTTACTTAGTCTAGTTAGATACTAACTAAGACTCATCACCAGGGCATAAAATAACATATTAGGCCTAACTGGGCGACATTTGTGTCGCTCAGTTGTGTGCTGAGATGTTGTCGCCAGTGACTATGGGTGGTGGTGACATGTTTTTTTAATGATTCACATTTTAAATGTATCGGCATTCAAAATACCCACATCGCAAACCTGTACCGGTAGACTAAGGAGTTTCCATCTACCTAAGAGGAATTCCACTAAATTAGTATTCCCTTAAAATTGTCAGATTTATTTCCTATTTTTAAGTTAAATATAATTAAATTTAATGAGTACTTAGGTACTAGGTTAATTAAATAACAAGTGGCGCTGCGTAGCGGTGACACAAGTGGCACTCATAAGTCAGCCGCCGGGCCTGCAGCGGCCGTACGAGTAACGCTCGTAAGTCGGCGCCAATGTGTTAAAAGAAAAAGATACCGTACGTAGAAGTGTGATTTTCACTTTAATTTATGCAAAAATTTCTGGGGGGAACCCTTGAACCCCCCTTTTTTATCCCCCAGTAAGTCCGAGGCCACTGTCGCCCAGTGGAAAACCCTTAAAATATGCTCTATGTCACATCGTTAATTTCAACTGAGAGACTAGGGGTACACTTCCATATCTGTTGGCACACACAACCTAGTGAGTAATATTATTTTTCGATTGCTTAATTCGATATATCGTTTGGTTAGTTAGGCTAGGTTAACGTTACCTAACTAACCGAACAATATATCGAATAATCGATCGATATTTTCATTCGGTTGTTTGTGCCAACAGATATGGAAGTGTACCCGAGACTAGTTACTCCGTAGTGAGACAACAACATCACTCTGACTGGTGATAGCTTAATCTGTCCTCTAGGCTAGGTCAGGCTTTAATGGCCATTATTTACAAGGGAGTAACGTTCACACAAAACGCCTTGAACAGTATTTTGACGACAGTAAATGTTCTATCAAACTAACTTAGTAGCATTCGCCTACAACGGAATTAAGAGTAGGCCTGGCTAATGAATTTTATCCTGCCCATATAAGGTTATAAACAGAGGACCTATAGTACACTCGAAATAGGGATTCTGTACAACACACCAACTTCTGTTTGTAAGGTACTAACCTTCCTTTATACGCTTCTTCCTACCAAGCGTTCCAATTTTTTCCCAAAAAGATTCTTCCTTGTCAGTTTTATTAGCAGAACCAGGGGGGCGAGGTGATTTTGGTCTTGGAGTCGCCATGTTTACTTCTGCAGCTTAGCTTCTGCTTCTGGCCTTCTGCGTCTCTCGCGTACGCGTCTGCTTCTGACTTCTGAGTTTTGAGTTTTTTGACAGCTGTTTAGTCTATTCAGTGTTGCCAACACTCATCGTAAACAACCATTATTAGCTGATCACTCAGCATACTATACAGTATCCGTATATAGCCACGGCCGCCTTTATATAGCTCACATTAAAATATAACAATAATAATGAAATAAATACAGTAACAACTACACAAATAATATATGATCACTGCAGTTTTTAGGAAGGAAATTGCTTTATAACATCGAGCATAGTTAATTTTATTCTTATTTTTTTAAACGTCACTATTACTAGTCTTATTTTTTTTTACTCTACAAATTCTTCTTGGTTATACAATATTCACATACAGGGTGCTAGGAGTTCTTGATTTATTTTACTCAAACTGACTCATAGTCCACCAAATGAAATATGTTATTTACATAAGCAATAAGCATGATATAACAGGCTACCCACTATATTACACCTTACGAAGGAGGGACAAAGGTGGCTGCACAGTGCTTGGAAGTAGTTCAGTATTGTACTCTTCGAATTGATTTGCGCTATTAAAGGAGCTTGTCATAAAATACATTATAAGTGCTCATTAGTCAAGTATTCGTTCATGCGCCATCTCAAGCTTCTGCACACTCTAGGCCACCACAGTGACGCCACTCGTCCGTGTGAAGGTAAAATCCTTTCTTTTTGACCTCTTCAGAAGTACACTGATTTCAGGGAGAGGGTCTAGGAAATGTCTTTCAGGGACAGATTCCTTTGTCTTTGTGTTTTGTCTTTCAGAGAGGGAGTGAGATACATGCCAGCGGTTCAGGAGTAAACATTAGAGACATACTGTAGGTGATAGTTAAGAAGTCCTCTGAGCCAGAGCGAATGCAGCAATGTTGATATGTTGCCGCGCGGTATTTGCAGGTGCACCACCCTCTCTCAGCACGGGGGAGTGACATTTCGCAGAGTGAATCAAGAATACTTGTCACATCGACAACAGATGAGTAATACAGCAGTGACAATCGCTTCCGTTGCTTCATTGCACCACAAGTCTTCTTACGGTGAGGGTGTTTTGCCATTTACTGTTATGGAAGACGTTAGGAAGCGTGGCGCAACAGTTCACGGTGTGGAGAGAAACTTAATTCGTAGAGTGGTTGAAGTTATTAAAATAATCGAACACACAATACTAACGTAATTTCTACACGAACATAACCATGTTAATATTCAATTTTTAATTTGTTTGGCTCGGCCATTTTGACGTACATATGTATTGTACTTCTGCAATATTAATAAAGTTGAGTACTAAAAATAAAATTAAAATCATAATTGCCTATTTTTGTTTTAACGCTGTAGATGTGATCCCTGACTGCCGCGTGGAACACGCGAATGCGTCGAGCCGTCGAGTCAAGCGCCTGCATTTTTATTATAGACCAGGGCACAGGGGACTTTTTAACTCTCGCCTACAGTATGTTATGTAGTTATCAGTAGCATCAAATACAATCTTGTAGTCGCAGGGTTGAGGTATTTCTGATCTTCAGAGGTAAATTTACTCCAAAACATATTTTTTTATTAGAGGTGAGCGAAGTGCGCCTGGTTACTATATAAGCATTTGCAAGAGATTTAATATTAAGCTGTACTAGCCCTTTAAAGCAAGAAAATCACTATCACCTTGACCTTCTAGTCTTCTTGTATGTTGTGTAGAATATTTCTTGTTGATAACCATACGTGGCGTTACTGAACCAACGTGATCCTAGTCATTTTTATCGGGGTTCATTGCAGTTCATTATTGTCGAGTTAGTAGGCATATTCATATTTTGACTGAGTGAATAATTTTTGGTACACAACATGTACAAAAAAATTTAGTAAACATATTGTTTGCTACACAATGATTATTATTATTTACCATGCGAGGAAAATAATTGTCTCTAACTGAGTCTGTTCTTGTACAATACCTGTACAAGTACAACTCAGCAGACGACACGCAATGGTCAGGTGTCGTCTTCCGCATGAAATATGCAGCGATGTCCGTCGCGGCCTCACGACATCAGGTCGATAACAATGGTCATCTCGGATACAGATTAGGGGCTAGGGCCTACACGTGAGACTGTATGCGTGGGCTGTTGGATAATTGGCTGACAATGCTCCTAAAGTGGAGTTAAAAAACAGGGCATTTGGTATGTCCCCGCATTAAGTTATTAGCAGCCTTTAATTACACGGGTAGTTTATATGAGGGTATATACAAGGCATACTTATAGCTTATAAATTATGCTCTAAAGCCATTACAAATCTATCTATATAACTAATACGCTACATATGAAACTTTTTTCGGTTGAACTCCTCCGCCATTTCTTAACCGATTTTATCCATTGACGTCTCATTGGAAAGAGCGTGTCGCGTAGATTTGCAAACTGGACCTTATATTTTTTTAAAGTCCCTTGGGCTCTGCCCCAGTGGCTTTGAAAGTTCCCATGTTATCCTTATGAAGAACATAATTGTTTACATTTTGATTAGCTGTATAATTTAATTGCTGTTATTTATTTTTCAACTCAACGAAACGCATTGGGTACAATAATTTAATGATTTTGTTGAAATTAAATATTTACTATTTTGATTTACATTCGTACATATTACAATGTAAAAAATCGAGAAAGCCTGGTTAATTTGAAATATTTTACCAAATAAGAATAATGATTTGGCATAGTACTGTATTTCTTGAGAAATAATTTAAAGAACCGATTTGTTAACCATGGATACATAGCAAAGTCGTAGAACGCCACCAAGTAGAAGAAATAGAGATTTTAAAAAAAATACTATCGTTATCAACCTATATAGCTAATGAAGAACACTACAGCTACAATATGAAGATTCCCACAAACAATGAACAAGGATGTTAGCCGAGGTGCTACTATTTTGTAGGAAACATGGACTTAACTTTATGATGATTAGCAAAGGAAACCCCTCTAAGTCTGAATTAAACTGGTACGGCAAGGACATTAATCATTAAATATATCTATATAAATAAAATTAGATGTTTTCATAAAAGCCAAGTGATTTTAAATGAATGTGACTACATCCAAGAAACCTAAATAAAACTTTCATTTAAGGATTCACATTATTCCCATTTAAGGGAAACAAAAAACCATCTGAACGACATTAGGCCTTTCAATTCTGCATTTTTCAGGTAAATATAATTTACGATATAACGGTAACTAGCCAAACGAGTGCCAATTGATGCAAATAAAATTGCGACAGAGAGGTTATGCAGAAAATCAGGTAGTTCTTAGTCATGAAAACAAAATGTTATCGCTATAAAACATTTACTGAAATTTGTAAACGTACTGGCGACAATGGGTGGTACTACGCAGACTACATTATCATTGACGAAGATCAACACGGACAACCTAATACGGCTATAAGTCGGAAACATTTAAAAAACCAGATCAGCTTTTGAAAAATGATAAAATATTTACAAGAAATGTACCATGTACGTAATCTATGAGTTGAGTCTTTAAAACTCATCGGAAATTATGATGACTTTTATTTGTTTTTAAATAACTACTTTACTTCTTTGCAATTGCTTGATTTCGAGCAACATGTAAACTAGTACAAATCATAAGTTGAAGACCAAGATACTCACGGACTTAGTGAAGAACACGGTACAGTATAGGATAGGCCTAACATAGTGCATGAAACGCGCATTGGCGGTTAAGTTACGTTTTATCATCATACTACTAACTAACGTAATCGGTAATAATTGTGTTGTAATATGTACAATAACATCTTTATTTTATATTGTAACACACAAAGATTGTAATATCGCTTTGATTCTTTAAACTAACCTTTATTGAAAGCAACAAACTCTGCAGAAAAAATAAAAGCAGGTGATTACGAACGCTCAACTCCTGTTATTAATACTGTATATGATAATAATGGTACACGCTTATATATGTACTCTTAATGGCGAGTATAAATTATTAATATGTAAAAAACTATCATGCCGAAATTAATTTCCATTGAATTCTAATGAGAAATAATCAACAAAATTAACACTTTGTAAAGTGTTTAACAGAAACATGTCGAAAATGTGAGACCCAATGCGCGAATATACGCTGGAAAAGTTAGTTTGCGGGGCTTTATGATTGTTATCTTTTTCCACAACGTTGCTAACGTTTCCACTGTTTCTTTAAAAAGTATATAATATATATTATGGGATTGTAAATACAACATTAAAATGAAAAGACCAAATAAAATATTTAGGATGGACCCATTTACCATGGACAGACAGAGGGGTTTAGTTAATTTGGGCCTAAAACTTGAAGATTATGCATGGCAGGGATCTATAAAAGTATAAATTGGATTAAAAAAACAAGTCCAAAATAAAAATTCAAACTATGTTTGAGACTGTATATTTCACAAATTAATAACGCAATAGGTAGTCGAAGCCGTGTGAACAAATCTATGTTTGCACAGTATTGAACGCAGTTCGCCGAAATTCCGTAGGACAGCAGCACTGCCATCAACACATCGTTCTCTTTCTCTTTACTATAAAGGCGCAAATTAGTTTCGATTTTTTAGTTTTCACCTAGCCTATAGTGACAATAAAACTTTGGTTTGGACCAATAATATAAAAAACTTGGTTTGCATTGGAATGGACAGAAAAAACAATTAATCCACCGCATCTGATTTTATTGAAAAGATTATCCACGTAACTCCAGGAAAAATTGTGTTGGACTCTGTATAAAATTTGTTACAAACTTTTGTTAACAAGGATAGTCTATAAAATTCATCGATTGTGTTTTTCATTTCCCTTGTGTTAAAATAATACTATTTTATACAGCTTTCATGTATATTGAAAATGAATTTTAAATACTCAAAAAAGCCTCGGATTACCCATGACTCTTCTGCCCCGGGGGCTCGGAATCAAATTCTGCATTAACAGTGATATTTACTATGTGAGATGGTAGAGTCCACCTTGGAGCTAACCTAAACCTGTAAATCCACCTAGCTGTAAAACCAAA